GGGGGGGGGGGGGGGGGGGGGGGGGGGGGGGTAGAGCGTGATCGCAGACTTCCATAAGATTGAGATCAATCACTTTACAGTAATGAAAAACAAGTTGTGGATGGCACGGTGAGGAATGTAAAGAGGTCCGGATTTAAGTCAAGCTTCCAATTTCTAAAAGCGAATTTGGAAGGAAAACATCGTGGTTAAAAAAACTGAGTGTAATGGACAAAATAAACCATGCAGGATGGTTTGGATTGAGAGTCTCAGGGATGAAGTTTTCCTACGCCGGTCAGTTTACTTCTATTCTCTCACAGGGCCGTTTTTCACCAAAACATATCAGAATGGGCGATGTCTAGGTGCCCATTCCGGGATCACTGCGCTGTAGACAAGATGGGAAACAGCCTTGCTAATAATCCTGCCTTGAAGGGAGGATTGACTCTTGTTTTTGCCGCAAAACTGGCATAACGTGACGAATTGCTCCTGCGGCGTGAGGCGTGCTAAGGCTGTGACGAGGTAGTGCTAGTTACAGCACATGATGTGGCAATGACGTCGATTATTTCATAATTGAATAAAATGCTTAGTTACTGAAACATATTGCTGAAGCTGAGGTGTGACCTCAGTTGATAACACAATTGCTTTCTTTCACTCTTCGCGTTGTGTTTTGGGGCGAAAATTGCTCTCGCCCATCCGGCGGAAGCTTCTGCGGTTGGTTAACCGGGAGTAGCCTGACAAATAGTTTGACCAAGTTTGACCAGTCCTCACTCCTCCAAAGTGAAACAAGTGAATGAACATCCGTCATGGAAGACTTAGACGATTCTGTAGTTGGGATGACAGACGAAAATTCTCCTCTTCTCTCTGTACAAGGAGGTCCAAACCATGGAAGCAAGGACAGGTTTAGTGTTTCAAGCAATTCGAGGTAGAATTGCGTTAAATTTCAAATATTTTGAAAGTTTAGCTTGGCTTTCGTGCTGTAAGCCGGTGTAAGCTTGTAACGTAACCATTTAGCAATTTTTTTCCTGATGCCTTGACTCCTAACTTGAAATCAATTCGGAGGTTGCACGCAGCTTTTTTCAAAAGAGAAAAGCTTTTAGGCTGATAATCTGTTTAATATTTGGACATTTAAGTCGACATATGTATTGCAATGAACTTGTGCATGTACTTAGCTTAATAGATTGTTCTAGACGCCGCCAACAGGCCAACAAAAATTTCTGAGATTGTCAAAGTTAGGCGAAAGCTTAACCTGCGATCCAGTGACTTTATAGTCTAATGGCTCTAGACACCTAGATTGTGTTGTTCTTCTTATCAAAGTGAAAAGGGAGGGAATCATGTTAAGTACATAAAGGGCAGAGGTGAAATTGAACTCAGATCACTTGGTTCATGTGCATGAGCAAATCGCGATCTCGTGAATCACCGCTAGAAGGTGGCTTCCAGTGAATTGAAATTTTGCAATATATTGTGTTACCCATTCAATAATTGAAAAGCCAATCATTCTTGATCCAGTGCAATTCAGGTTAACCAGAGCACTATTCAAGCTAACCAGCATGCTAAAATTAACCAAAGTTGTTTAGGCTTACTAACTGAAACTATTAAGGTTAACTAGAGTGCTATTTTTTCCTAATCCTTGTTTTTTGGTGCATTTGGTGGCATATCAGGCAAGTTCGGTCAAGCCGTATTTCGTAATTTTTGCCAAGACATGGTCAGGGCAAAATATCCACATCTGATATGCGGCTGAAAATATTTACCAAAACGGCACAAATAACAGGTAGTCACCATATCCAAATTCAGCAAAAAAAAACTGATAAATCAGGTGTCAGTTATTTGAAAGATGGATAACACTATCCCGTGAATAAGTGTTGACAAAACAAACTACCCTATCCACTGGATAGTGATTTATCCAGTGGATAGCATTATCCACCTTTCAAACAACCCAGTGGCTTGATATTGCTGTAAACAAGGCCTTTGATTGGCTTTTTCCTGAGTGAAACATTCAAGTTGGCAAGTAGATTGTTAAGCTACAGTATTACAGTACTCCAATTGAGAAAGGGACACAAGTTCAAAAACCTGACAAAGTTGGTTATAGATCTGAGCTAATGAATTTATCTTCATAGAACCCATGATGATCTGGTGAGGCACGTGTCAATTGGCCTGGTTCAATTTCCCATGGACAATCTTCCTTTAAAACTTATCTTAGAGTCTTGTTATAATGAACTGGTCAACTGACCATTAATTGATTTTAGAAAGCGAATTTTTAAGTGCTCGAAAATTATAAATTAAACATTTATTATTAAATGCATTATTAATAATATATAGATTTAGCCAAGGCTTATTTAAAGTGGAGCTCCTTATTACAATAAGTTAATCTGACTTGAGCCTGTGATCCAATTGAAAAACAGTACCTGGGTAGCAGTCAACTTAAAAAACAACATGTGAACTCAATGAGCACTAGATTTGAGCCCACAATATGCTCATGTGGTACTGGTCAGCAGATACCTTGTTTTGACAGGTGTCGATTGACCATAACATGGATGTCCAATATCAAAGATGTATACTGTAAAGGCTGCATGCCTCAGTTGACCTATTAGCTAGAGCATCACCACCATGTTGTGCCACTTCATTGTCGTCATCATCGTCGTGCGTACGCACCCAAAAGCAATACCGCAAGCCATGTTGACCATGAGAAACCAATTCCTGGGTTCCTATGAGAATGGTGCTCTGCTTGGTGTATTATAATTATAATTATAATGCATTTAACATTCAGATAAATTATCATTGCGTTAATCATTGCTGTTCTTCACTTTCTAACTCTTGTTTCTTAATTATAATTATTTAAGTTCCAGGAACCAAGATGATAATAGTACAGTTAATGGAAATTCAAGGAGAAGCTCTGTTGATGTGGAGTCACAGAATCAATTTCCAAAGAGAAAACCATTTCATTATAACACGCTAAAAAGTCCAATTGTAACATCACACGATGCGGACATGGCAGCAAAATTCAGTCGCTATAGATACATTTCAAGACTGTCCAGACATAACTTGGTAAGGAAAGAATAACTTACAATAAATTTTGATAATAACAGTTATTGATAGCATTATAACATTTATCTATCAGATCATGGCTGCTAAAGGCATTCGGCAGTGGAGTGATTGATACCCTCAATCGACCCTCGATCAGCATCTCAATGAACACTCCATCGACATCCTGGTCGATACTTGGTCATCACTCCATTGACACTCAATCAACATCTCGATTGAGACTCAGTCAACAGTAAGTCAGTAGTCGGCCATGTCAACAGACTCAGATGCATCAATCAAAAATTAGTTGACTCTCAACTGACTGTAGATGTCAGCTTAGTGTGGAACAAGTACCAACTGAGGTGTCGATGGAGTATTGATCAACACTCGAACGCAGATGCCTTTAGTACACATGATCCACATTATCAATGCATCTAGGAAATGACTTACTGTTGGCAGTCATTACTTCTTTGTTCTCAGAGGAAAAATCTTGTTGTAGTGAAAGATTAGAAAGTCTGCAGTTGATACATGTATTACAGTACCTTGTGTTTGAACTATAAAATTTTCCTGAGTTCAGACACCAGTTTGGCAAAGTAAAATCTTATATTTTTAGTTTTACTATTTGTTGCTGTCTTCTGTCTTAGATAATTCCAAGTCACATGCTCCCATCTCAGTTATTTCTCATTATACCTAAAGAAAGCGATGAGAAACAAAGCAGCCTTGTGACAATGTTAGTAAACTTTTTGAGGCATGTTTATTTAATTTAGTGGCAGGATTTATCTTCTATGGTGAATGTTGATTATTTCTAATAGCAAAGTGTTGAGAGATGGGTAAATGTGTGTTCATTATAAACAAAAGCATCTGGTTTGAACAATAAATCAGGGGCATACTAGTGGCTTTGTTATTAAGGAATTCATTGCTTATTGGTTTTCTACTATAATTTCATTCATTCATGTTTAATTGGTATGGTGTTGAGATGAAGGCCGCGTGCTTTGGCCAAAATGTTTAGTTCTGTCAGTGTATTGGACTCCACAAGATCAATATTTAAAAGGTTGGGACTGTCAAGGGATCTCAAGTTGTTAGAGGCACCTAGTGCAATGATTCAGCATTAATGAGTCATCAGCTGAAGATGATTCGGTTTTTAGCTACAAAATAGCAACATCTTATTAATGCCTTGGTTGATATTATTAATTTTTTTTTTTTTTGCTGTTTAGTTTTTCAATTTGGAACACTATGATGGGCACATCACTGTTGAGCATTCCATGGGCAATCAATCAGGTCTGTATATCTCAGTCAATACTCTGTGAAGTCCAGACAGTATAATTTGAACTCTTTGTGTTAGATCTTTGAAACAGTTTTTTTTTTTAGATAGATAAATATTATGCAAATCGGTCAGTCCTAACCTCTTGTCTGGCAATATATCCAGAGCTAAGTTTCTTCAATTCAGTTATTTACTCATAAAGACAGAGATTGAATGATTAAAGATGAGTCTCCATTGGATTTGTGAATTCAAAGTGATTTTTTTAAATAAAGTTTGAGCAAATGCTTTATGTTGTTAGTACCAGACATTAATCAATTCATTTCATTTTGCAGGCTGGTTTTACTCTTGCTATCATTCTTTTGATATTGATGGCTGGGATTTGTCTTTACAGTTGTTACTTGATACTCAAATGTGCTGAAGAGACAGGTACAATTGTTAGCTGAAAGCCTGATGGTACAAAACAAAGTTCTATATGGGGAGACTCCAGCACAAGCTCCAAACAGTTGGAGCTGGATTGTGAAAGGCGGAGGGAACTTAGGAGTGGTGGGGATGGGAACTGTTTGGAAGGTGAAAGAAAAGAGGAAAGGAAATGGGACTACCCCCTTGGGATGATGGAAATCAGGAAAAAACAGGAAGATTTTTACAATGTTACATAACACTTTGCAATCTTGTGGGAAAAACACCAAGACTGCCAATACATATACAATACAGGGAAGTTGAAGGTCTTTAAAAGTAGCATACTAAAGCTTTCAAACTCTTCATATTCATGTATTATAGTATTAAAATTAGTGCATTATACGTTATCATCACCATCACAAGATTTGTCATCGTCTTCCTTTCGTCATCATTAACATCATCAACATTGTTTATTTGCCTTAAAAGAAGTGTTAATTTAATTAAATACATGTAGGTACAGTAATGTAGACGGGACAAGAAAGCCATCCCAGTTATTAAAATGTGGTTTTAATTGTTACTCTCAGAAGCTACATTTTTGTGGCTAGGCCAATTCATTGGTATTTCATTAAAAACTTAATAATAATGGGAGAGAATTCCAGTGCACCAGTATTTGATGACAAGTTTAATTCTCTCTTTCTCCAGCAAAGCGTGGTGAGCTTTTAGAATTTTCTGACATCTGTAAAAAGTACCTTGGTAAGCCTGGAGAGCTCATTGCAGTGTTGTTTTCATTGGCTGCTATTGCGGGATCTGCCATTGTCTTTTGGGTTCTTATGAGCAATTTCCTCTTCAATTCTGGAAAATACATTGAAGGTACGGAATATTTTCCTGAAGCTTCTGACCTTCTTCAGCATGCAATGTAAATTAAATGGAATTTAGTTAGTGCCATGAAATGACCAGAAACAGATTCTTGATCATCTTTTCCACAGATACATAGCATTACATAAATGTGGTCATTTTCCCTTCAAGTTGCCTAAACAACTGAAACTTTTTTCATACATGTATTTGCTAATGACATGTTGTAGACAACAACTGAAAGTATTACCATAAAAAAAAATTATGTGTATTTACTTACTACACTTTTCTCCCAGAATCATTTGTCTGCGCAGAAAAAATGCTTTTAATTAATTTTTGTCACCACTCAAAATGAAAACTACAGAGCATGACATTGATGTGAAGTCATTTCTTTTTAAACACCATATAAAACAATTTGTGTCAATCATAATTCTGAACCTGGTCCTCTAAGCAGTGAATTACTGTCAGTGATCAATGATCCGAGATAGTAATCACAGAGCCAAGTATAAAGTTGCAACTCAGACGGAGATATTTATTACTTAGTGACTTTATGACAAAGTATTTAATTTATTCAAAAAATTGGTATTTGCTTGTTTTCAGAGAGCATACATCATGCCTATTCAGTTCCCATGTCACTGAATTCTTCAAATGCCACACACCATTTGGGAGGTAATTATTTTATAATTGTACTCAAAGTGCACCCAACAGACTTGGATGCTTCTTAATTCAATGTGTGATTGAGCCCCTTTGATCTGTGGAATATGCTGTGCATTTATATCTAGGTTTAAGAGAAGAGATTTGGAGACAGAACAGTGGAACTCCTTAAATCCAGTCACCAATGGGCCACAAAAATATGGCCATATTAACGAGGTGGCCGCATTAATGGGGACACTGCCTGTAAGGAAGGATTTCACTGTATATCTCAGTTGATTGGTCTATCCTTTTATTCAGTCACTCATTCAGTGCATGTTTTTTTGGGGCTATATAATATTGAATTGTTATGATAAGTAATTTACAGGCTGCGAACAAACCTGATATTACATCATGGAGGCATATACTTAAAATCTTTTTGAAATTAAGAATTCAGACGAAGTACATTTACATGTCGAGAAGTTCTTTTTGTTGCATCAGTTCTAGTTAAACATGTTTTTCAAAAGTGCCTTGGTTAAGGCTAGGCAATAGATGGACTGTAGTCCTGGGTTGGGGGAGATTAAGATTTTTCAGTCAGCATAACTTAGGTATCAGTGATACTTGGCAGTTATGAGCTAACAAGGTGGTCTACTTGAATTCTTTTTTCTTTTCAGCGCTTTGCCCCAATGGTGATAAATCATCGTCAAGTACGGAAGATAGCTTAGTTAGAGCTGACACATCAAGCTTCTTCAAGTTCTGGAGACTCCAATACACTGTACCATTCTTTTTAATTGTTATCCTCTTTCCACTGAGTAGTGTCAAGTCACCAACATTCTTCACAAAATTCAACTCTTTAGGTGAGCTAAATATGTGGTCATCTAGGGATGACAAATGGTAAATTCAATACTTTGAGATGGCAACACCTATACCTTTTCTATGGGTCCAATACTGTCTTAGCCTTGCAGAAGTAACCAGGACTCTGAGAAGGCATTGTGAAAAATTCTAGATGATGCTAAGACCTGTGATATTTGACTAAAACTTAAAAGGCAGGAAATATTTTTCGAGGGACTATTTGCCACCTCAATAAAGCTAGTCAAATTTTCTGAAAAATAATGTAATCCACTCTGACTCAAGTCCATGTTTCTGGGCTTTGAAAGATCAACACTTTATTTCTCCTTACATTTACATTACAAATATGTTAAAAGGTACAGTATGTCATCAGGCAGTTATTATTAATATTAAGTTAAGACAATAGAAAAAAAAAACCAGGCTGGCTAGGAGATACTGTTTTGATATTCCTCCAAATTGTCAGAACTGACTTAAATTGAAATAACTATTATTCTCAATTTGTAATTTGTAAGAATTTATCTAATAAATTGTAATGCTCTTTTGACTATTTTTTTTTTTAGGAAAAGTGCAATATAAGNTCTTTCCACTGAGTAGTGTCAAGTCACCAACATTCTTCACAAAATTCAACTCTTTAGGTGAGCTAAATATTTGGTCATCTAGGGATGACAAATGGTAAATTCAATACTTTGAGATGGCAATACCTATACCTTTTCTATGGGTCCAATACTGTCTCAGTCTTGCAGAAGTAACCAGGACTCTGAGAAGGCATTGTGAAAAATTCTAGATGATGCTAAGACCTGCGATATTTGACTAAAACTTAAAAGGCAGGAAATATTTTTTGAGGGACTATTTGCCACCTCAATAAAGCTAGTCAAATTTTCTGAAAAAAAATGTAATCCACTCTGACTCAAGTCCATGTTTCTGGGCTTTGAAAGATCAACACCTCGTTTCTCCTTAAATTTACATTACAAATATGTCAAAAGGTACAGTATGTCATCAGCCATTTATTATTAAATTAAATATTAAGTTAAGACAATAGAAAAAAAAAACAGGCTGGCTAGGAGATACTGTTTTGATATTCCTCCAAACTGTCAGAACTGACTTAAATTGAAATAACTATTATTCTCAATTTGTAATTTGTAAGAATTTATCTAATAAATTGTAACGCTCGTTTGACTATTTTTTTTAGGAAAAGTCGAATATAAGTAATAAATGCTATTGTTATTGTTGTTATTATGGCATTTAGTTGGTATGTAGTAATGAGAGTAAACATTTTAGTCAGTTTTTAAGTCTCCTAGAAAATTTTAATTATTAATATTTTTGTAATTTCTTTGCACACAGGTACTTTATCAGTCATGTACATAATTGTCTTCATCATCACTAAAGCCAGCATATGGGGAGTTCACATGGATTTTAGTCATGGAAACATACCCAGTAAGATATAGTGAATGTATGATTTTTTTTTCAGTTGACTGGGAGATTTTTAACTCATCTTTTTCAATTTTCCATATTATTCTAGTGTTCAAGGATGGTTTCCCAGCCCTGACTGGAATTCTAACTTTGGCTTACTTTATTCACAACTGCATCCTTTCAATAATGCGCAGCCAGGAACACCCTGAAAATAATGTGAGTAGTCCTGCAAGGCATGTTCATTTGTAACTGAAGTTAGCAACATTCTGCCTTGTGCACCAGGGGGTCTGCAGTCCCCCCAATTTTGGCAATTTTGAAATTTTTCAGGCAAAATGCTCATTATTCCACATCAGTTACTGGCATCTGCTGTAGCTCATGGCTAACATTCGTGCCAGATCATGGTTTCTGATTTGACTAGATTGGGTGCGATGTCTACAGAAGTCATAGAGTATGCCAAGTTTCAAAATTATAACTGTTTTTTAGATGTGAGAATTGTGAGTGTCATTGTTTTTCATGCAATTTTAGGGCACTAATTAGTATCCCAATTTCAACACTGACACATTTGGGCATTGTGCAATTTTTTGGGAGACAAAAAGATCACATACCTACTGCCGTCCCCCCCTCTCCCCCCAAGTCTGTAGGTGCCCATATACCTATGTTTAGCAGAGATGGAAACTGAAATTCTGTGCTGACCATTTTTTCATCAAACAATGTTGACAATGATTTCCCATTTTTCAGGTACGAGACCTCAGTATAGCATTCTGCTTGGTAGCTTTAACATATACACTTGTTGGTGTGCTGTTTTTCATTACTTTTCCAAGAGAAAAATCTTGTATTCAGCAGGTACACTAATACTTGTTTTCATACAGTTGTTTTCATACCATATGCTTAAATTTAAACAAGTTGTTATTCCATTTCCAAATGCAAATTTGTTCCACCCAGATGTATAAATGGGTATTCCTCCCAAAAAAGAACTAAACTTCACAACAGGCTGTCAAAAACTAAAACTAACGAATACACACAACCATCACTACCACTGCTTGTGGTGAAATACAGACAGTAGTGATTGGTGTACTGTGTACTGTAAAACGCCGCCTTGCAGCCTCTCATCCACTGCCCACCCTCCCATGTCCTCACTGCCCACGCAAATTCTAAGCGAGGATTGGCCTGCTAAGCCACCTCCGAGGTCATCAAAGAAGAGGAGACCGTACTGTTAGAAGAAACTGGTGCTCGGACATGAGCTAAGGACGACTATGACAACCCATCACTGAGCTCAAGATTAAAAATACGCAAAATTTCATTGTTGAAAGTTTTCAAACCAGTCTGGTTTAAATCAAATAGAATCTACAGTTTAGAGAGGAAACTAAAACTCAAACTTGGCTTAGAAATTTTAAAGCAAAGCAAATTTAGACCACAGCATAGACAACATGTTAGCTGTTAGAGATGAATTTTATGAAGAAATAGCTGAACTTGGAAACTGCAAATCTAAGTTGTACATTATTAAAGTTTGTATTATTAGTTATGAATTGCATTACCAGTGACTGAAAGATTGTTTTATTTCTGTTTGTCTAGGTTCTTCTGGACAATATCCCTGCACCAGATGTGATGGCATTTGTAGCAAGGCTCTTTCTTTTGTTTCAACTAACTACCGTCTTCCCTCTGATACTGTATATTACACGTGTACAGTTCATGTTATATTTCTTTGACAAAATTTATCCCAGGTGAGTTGGTTGGAAGTTTTCTTTTACTTGCACTGGGGGACTTTAGAACTGAGTTTATTCTCCTTATTGCTGCCGTATACTTTAGTTGGAGACACAGAGGCCCAATTGTCAGCATGCTGGACTCCAGATCATGCGGTTTGAGCTCAAGCATGGGCTGGGGTTATCGTGTTTTGTTCTTCTTGTTCTTGTTTTTTACTGAGCTTTTTTTCTTTGGGGGTAGCCTTGTGAAGCGTTCAATTCAGAGGGGATAGAAATACTCCTAGTCACCCCAGGCTCCTAGTCAAGCTCCAGCCTGATAGGCTACTAGCCTTGAGCATAGTCCTAACCTACACTTCATGATATCAAAGGGTGGTTGAGTGCAAAAAGGTCACAGGTCTTCCATCGTCATAGGTGGTCTTCCTGTGGCCTGTTGTATGTCACTGCTTTGAAATTAGGGGTATTTTTTTACATTTCACAGCCTTTCACATGAAAGCTAAATAATAATATTGTGAAGGGTCACCAAAAGTTCTGAAATGGAAATTGCAGGCTATTACAAGGGTTTTTGCTCACTTGAAAATTTAGTTAGAAATTTACCTGCAATAGAAAACGGGGTTGCGTGAGGATGGGGAGCATGTAGATTACGACAGTGGTCACAAGAAAAGCTTCAACTGTACTTTCTTTTTTTTTCTCACAGAGCATGTTTTTCTTTTCCATTCACAGCTTTCTTCATGTTTTCATCCTGAACTTAGTACTTATAATGGCCTGTGTTCTTTGTGCAGTTTTTTATCCACATGTTGGCAACATTATAAGGTAGACTAATGGTAGTGGATAAATACATAGTTTGCAAGTTATTTGGAAATTTAATATTAATTACATGTTGAGTTTCAAACTTTCTATATTTAAGGTGGAACTGTAATCCTATTTTACAGCTAATTTCAGTGTTATCTTGCAACATTTGTAATTCCCATCACTTGCCTGCTTGTCTTTGATATTTTGAGGAGAAATAGAGTACATCTCAATTTCACACAGCAGTATTTTTAAAACCCTTTTGTTGTGTCATCCTCAGGTATGTGGGATCATTGAGTGGACTGGCATACAACTACTCGCTTCCATGCATTGTGTACATGATAATTCAGAAACGAAAAGGCAAGCTGTCTGGGCTGAGTGCTGTAATGCATTCTTCCATTGTTGTATTGGGAGTTCTCAATTTTATGTCTCAGTTCTTTATCGCAGCATAATAGCCCACTTCCAATTTGCCTTAAGCTTCTCTATCAAAGCGAGGCCTGGTTCACAATCATTCATATGAAAAAGAGTTTAATTTGCGAGTCAATGAAATCTCATTTTCATATGAAAGGATAGGCATTAAGACTCGCTTTGAGAAAAATGTTCTAATGTCCTATTGTTTCTACAAGATTTTAGTTTTATGTAAGATTCTAAATGGTATTATACATTGTATGAGTATAAGAAGAATATGTTCCATGTTTTTGTCTACTATTGCTTGGGTGCATAAATAAATTTTAAAGAAATTTATTTTCTGATTATGTCCTCTCTTTTTTATCATTTCTTGCTGAGTGCTGGTCACTCTTGACTGGTAGCTGTTTAATAGATCAAAACCAACTTACAATTGATACACTGAATTGTTACTTCACTAAAATCATGCTGTGAATTGCATTTTGTTCTTTTGTAGCATTATTTATTTACTGTTATAAAATGTTCAATGAGTTGTACACATGATTGGTCAGTTCGAGTTCATTATAGTGCTGTAAAGGATGTAATGTCCCTCACGTGCATGTTTTATCAACTGAAGTTATAATGAACGTGGCCCACCTTACGAGTTTGAGGTCAAGTAGTTTCTTGGACATTTGTATAAGGAATGTAGTCAAAATAGTCACCTTGTGCATTGTTGAGTTCAATTTAAGGCACTTTCCTGCTTTTAAGAACACTTGAGAAGTGTTACAAGTTATCAGCTGTGCCATGTGCCTCTCTATGTATTTTCTGTTCTTAATTATTCCTGCGTGTTAATTTTACTCAACAATGCACTGGACGTTAAATTTTTCCTTATTAGGTGAGGGGATTCATTCATATTAAAAATGTGTAGAAATATATCAAGAAACACTTCTAGAAAATTTTTCTTTGTCATAGGGTTTGTAGTCAAGTGCATAGGGGTATGTAATAAAATACACAAGACTGGAATTAGATTCAGTTATAGAAATATTTATGTTAAGGTCCTGACTTGTGTTTAAAAGCCTTCAAATTGATTAAATGGCTACACACAATGAATGGAATTGTAATTATTGAAATATTTAAAATTGGACCTCTGTAAAATAGAAGGGTTCAAATTGTGTTGAAAAAAGAAACAGTGTATTATGTTGTACCTTGCATATGGTATCAGAATAAAAGGTATTTTTTAAAGTAATATGCACTCCCTCTTTATTGTCAACTTGTCATTATATTGGGCTTTACATTTCTGGGTTCTTTGGGACTTATGAACATTAAGGTCTCTTACTGAAACAGTAAGAACATGTTGTCATGGCTGCGAGTTACAATTTTTTCCCCTCATTGAACGTCATTCACCATGGTTACCTTGCATGGATACTCCTCTGTCACACGTGTGTATAATAGACACTTTTCGTATTCTCGGTATTGGACTTGAATTAGCTTGCAACTGAAACAATTTTCAGAGGGTAATAAGAAGTATGGGCTTGCAAACAGTATAAACCATGTAACAAATTACCAATCACAACTTAGTAATTTCTAAGTTGAATATTGTTTTCTGGAAAGAAAATACCCGATAAACATTTATTTCATCAATATTTTTATTTTGCATTATTTTTGTTAAATATTACTCTATCAGCTTAATCCTCATGAAAATAATAATTACTGAATATTTTGTAAAAGGTATGGGATTTCTTTGCGGCGAGATTCCTTAGCTGACCTGAATACTTATATTCTTGAGGCCAACATATATGATGGTACTTTGTTAGCTTGTATGTGTCACTTAACTGGACCTCGAACCCGAGTTTTCTGTGAGCGAATAGTATAATGAGGCGCAGCCGAGTTGACTATTGCTCCGAGAAACCGAGGGCGAGGAGTCTAATTGTTTTCGTGGAGTCTAAAAGGTTCCTTTCCAAACTTATAATTTTGTGTATTTCAAAATAAGACAAATTTTCCCCCTCGAGGACTGCGTGCGCGCAATCACGTTATATTTAAGAAATAGATTCCATGTTGCCGGGCGTCTGTTCAGTAGCTGATGACAGATGACGTCAAAATGTGGAAGAACAAAAAAGTGGCACATTAGGCGATTGCCGAGTGTCACTGGTGTTCTTACCTCATTTTGACGTCTTCGGTGATCTGTTACTGAGCAGACGCACGGCAATATTTTATCGATCTGTTTTATATAATAAAGAAACAAAAAAAAATGATAATAACCAATCAAAATGCGAGAATAATTCGACATATATAATTGTTAAATAGATAACAATGGGAGAACCAATCAGGTTTGCGGATTTCTATTACAACTCGTCGAATGAAAGATAGTCCTGCTCTGAATAAACATCTTCTATCAACATGGATTCTTTCTATGTTAATACACTATAAAAGAGTATTCTACTTAATTTGCTACAATTTAATTAAAGGATTAATTCAAAATTTCATTCATTGCTTAACTAACTCCTTTGCGAAAAACAACATCAATAGACGGATTCGAATAATAGAATTTTTTGCAATTACATAATTTACTTGAATTTGCGGATTGTTTCGCAAAAACTGCAATTCACTTGCAATATTTACATTTATGGGCAGCTCATAATTTTTAGCCGAACAAATACAAATTAAAAAATCACCGATAAATACAAAATAAAATAAAGTTATATCACTATAACATCAGCTAATTGTGGAATATTTTTAGGCTCCACCACAATACGTTTCTTTTAGCAATCTCTCGTACATTTCCCCTTTATCAGTAAATTCTAATAGTTTCTGGAAAAAATGTTCCATTGTTTTTCTCTCATTTTTACTTCCAGTAATAGCTCAATCGTAAAAATATTGCAAGAAGTGGTTTGGATTAAAACTAAATCAAGTCCCGGACTTCTTAGAGGCAAAATTAAAAGCATCACAAAAATTGCTCATAACGAAAACATCTAGTTACCTTGATCGGAGCATGCAGTTATTTTTAAATTCAATTTCGAGCTCACTATTAAGAATTCAATAATAATTCGGTTGAATTCATATTTATACTTAGAACTCAACGGTGAGACATAGATATCCCTTAATTTCATTTAGATGATAGTTTAATTGCGAGATAATAAGTTGAACTAGGTAACACGCTGATAACTTCTTTCTTTTACATGTTATTTGACCCGTCACTGGAGAAATCTACAAGCTCTTCGTATTCGCCTTCATCGTAGATGACGTCATGCAATCCTGCTTCCTCGTATTGCTGATACTCGGCAATGAGGTCATTCATGTTGGAGTCCGCCTGAAAAACAAGATTTGAAGTTTATTATTTTCACCGTGAAATCACTTTTAAAAATTTTGCTGTTTGTAAATAGTTTTGAGGGTAAAGAAACCATGGAAAAATTTCACTAGGTGCACGCCCTTCCGGTGGCCATCCGGGAATTTTATATTAAGCCAATCAGAGAGAAGGTCTTATTGAACTTCCAAGATAACCAATAGGAGAGCCTGTTTTGTCATGAGCACATCAGTGCGCAGCGCGCGGAAAGGCGGGAAAATCGTATTTGTTGCGTAGCGTTGCGTAACAACTTCTGAAAACTGTCTTTGCCTACTTTTGTTCGTACAAACATCTCACTCTTTTGGACCTTTTGCTTCGTTTTTCCTCAAGTATTACGGTCTGTTTCAAATGAATGTTACTCTAACTGGGAGTACACCTGTTTTGACGCTTGAATGTTGGAGACAAACTGAAGGACTCTGATAAAAAAGGCCAGAAAAATTGGAGCATTTACCAGTTCGTCTCGAAGACATGAATGGAGAAAGGTCAGTTTGTCATTTATTTTGTAGTTCCTCCTTAAAACTCAATTAAATTTAACAAACAAAACCACAAAGGAACTGTGTTATTTAACACATTTTCGTCTCACGCCATGAAAGATTTTAAGTTTGAGCACTTTCATGATCATTCACCGTATTGAAAGCGAGAAGTGTCAAGCGTAGCTTTTTTCAGTTTTCTATTGATCGGTGTAGAAATGGTCATCACAGACATTTTTTTATTTCACAAGCGGGCTGAATCCGAAATGAATTTTTTTGGTCAATAATACCGAAGCACTTTCAATTCTTCATCGAATTAACTCTGCAACTGCAAAACTCGACAGAGAGTTAGCGAAGAAACCCATTCGATGCTCCGGCCACGATTCGACGCTTTGCGAAGTAGAAAATCAATGCGACTGGTTTCCCTTTCATTTGTCAATGTGGATCCAAATTATGGAAATCATTTTTGCGAATTTTCCCGTTCGATTAAGAAATGACAACGTTCTACGACAAAAACATACGTTTTCTTCACTTATTCATCGAAAAACTGAATAACTAAAATTCTGCTGAAAAGCGATTTTCGCAAAACCGAGGGAAGAAACAAGTCCAGCTAAAGAAGTTATTATTAAACGATACCTCAGTAAACTCCATAACATCCATGCCTTCAGTCGTATACCAATGGAGAAAAGCTCGTCTTCTGAACATGGCCGAAAACTGGTCTGTGAATCTTTTGAACGCCTCTTGTATAGCGGTGCTGTTGTATAGAAAGGTAGCGGATGTTTTTTGTCCTTTCGGTGGCACATTACACACGGCTGTTTTCATGTTATTCGGAATCCACTCCACAAAAGAAGACGAGTGCGCATTTTGCATTTCGGAGATAGTTTCCTCCACCTCTCTCATGGCGAGCTGACCTCTGAACATAGCTGCAGCAGTGAGATACCTCCCCTGACGTGGGTCACAGGCTACCATCATGTTTTGAGGTCCAAACATGCTGCTGGTGAGCTCCGAAATGCCATATGACCTATACCCTTGTGATTGCTGGCTGATAAGAGGCGCGTGAGACGGTATAAAGAAATGAAGGCGAGGAAATGGGACCATGTTTACTGAGAGTTTTCTGAGGTCTGCGTTTAGCTGTGGAGATCAAATTGTCGGTAAGTCTATTGACGCTTATTTTATGTTTATTTGGTGGTACTTATAAAATGTAATGTAATCCCAAGTTGGAATCAATAAGCTAGCTTGTAGGGCCGGTTTAGACATTGTCTTTAATCAGGGCCATAGCCAGTGTGAGGCAAACCGACGCATTTGCCTCAGTCAGTTTTTCGTTTCTGAAGTTTCTTTTTTGAAGTGGAAAGTAATAAAACTGCTAACTACCTATAAGAAGAGAATTTAACCATGGACATTGTCTCAGTCATAATTGTTTTCTGGCTACGGCCCAGTTAATTGCTACCTAATATTTACTTTTGCTCTTGTAGTAGTTCGTAGCTTTCTAAAAAGAAACTCCAGAATGCAAAGTATGGAAATGTATTATCTTTTAACTATAATAAATGCGTCTTTATTTGAGGGAGAAGGTCAAAGTCTGTGAATTAAAGTGCTTTCGCGAAAACGCATCTTTTGAGACAAACTGTTTTTGCTATATGACACTGGGACAGAAGGGCTTTGCTAAAGCTTATGAAGAATTTTGATAGGAAACTTACCTGGCCAGGATAGCGAAGCGACGTGGTAACTCCTGCCATGGTAGTGGCTACTAATTTGTTCAATTCGCTATAAGTTGGCGTCTTCAGTTTTAAAATGTTCGAACAGATATGATACAAAGCCTCATTATCGATACAAATAGCAGCATCTGCAATGTCCACAAGATGATGAAAGCTTAGTGTTGCGTTATAAGGCTCAGTCACTGTCTCTGACACTCGTGGTGACGGCAGCACGCAGAAACTGCTTAGCAGTCTATCCGGGTATTCTTCGCGAATTTTTGACATTAAAAGTGAACCGAGACCAGAGCCAGTTCCCCCTCCCAGTGAATGAGCTACTTGGAAACCCTGGACACAATCGCAGAATTCCGCTAGTTTTCGAATGCAGTCCATTCCAGATTCCAAGAGTTCGGAACCTTCTGTGTAAAATCCCTTGGCCCAGTTGTTGGCTGCGCTGCTCTGACCTGCATCCGGGGTGACAAAGTTTGTTTCAGTTAAAATGAGCAATGCATGCAATCAAATCATTAGTTTTTAGGACTATTGGCAAACTCCCAATCTGATGGTTACTTGTATAATTTGCCCAGCACTATTTTGATGAGCTCTAAGGAAGTGTGGAAAATACAAACACGTGGAAAAGTATAAGATACTCCAGTTCTTGAAACGGAAGCCATTATTGTTTGGCTACTAAGAATGATTAAAATAAGGGATGCCTCAACAACGCACGCAACATTGTTTCTAGTGTAAAATGTTACNCCCGCCCCCGCCTCAATTTCTTGCAGTTCCCGGCACCTTGGGAATCCTACTTCCCGTCTTACCCACTCCAGGCACTTCCCCCACCTTTAGTCCTTGTTCCAATAAGTAGTCCCTTTACTCCCTGTTTAACTCACCACATATGCAGTTGTCAGGGCTGAACAGTCCTCCGTACTTTGAGGAACGGAGCGAGTCTATCGAGCCTGGCTCCAGGTCCAGGCATGCTGCCCTTGGGATGTACCTGCCATCTACAAGAAAATGACTTTTTTTATATAAAAGAGTTCTTTTAACATGCGTTCGATGATTGGCGTTGTATTTATCTTTCCACGCTAGTATTAAAAACTCACGTTAAATGTAAAGGTAAAAACAAAGGTGGATATATGACACAATATCGCACAATGTTGTCTATTTAACGACACTGAGATTGTTTTATATACTAACTCAGCAAATAGCCAACTAGAGTACGAGCGTAGATTTTTGACAGCTGTTAAAAATTTAAGCTTTGTATAAAACTTTCGCGAACTTTTAGTAGGTATTGATGGACAACCTCCGCTCAAAATAGCCAATCAGTGCGGTAGATAACATGTGATATAACAGTTACTCAGCCTTTGAAATGTCATCAAAATATCTTTTAATCTTTGATCATGGACATGTATGGAAGGATGTAAACTTGAAATCGGTCAACAACACGCAGTCATGCAATGTTATTTCAAGTACAACTCACCCGCTGTTTCGTTAAAGTAAACGTTGAGTCTGTCCTGTTGATTTGGAGATTTTCCCGTGTAGTATCCATCTGGTGTTATGCCATGTTCATCCGAGATCATTTCCCAAAACTAGATTCGGAGAAATTATAAAATAGGTATTTTTGGAGCTAGCCAAAGAAACAAACTAATGGTATGCCTGAGCTTTTCCCAGGACTTGGAAATGCCTTTTGCACTTAATTTTTTTTCCATATTTAAAATTGTATAAATTACGGACTCCATTCCATTCCCTACAGTGTTCGACATTTCTGTCATTTATTAGCAATGAAGCAACGTCTCTTCTCATTATTTGCAACTATAGACCGTTAAATTATTCTTTTATGCTACACTCTTACAGCTGGAAAATTGATTTCACGTACGGTTTTTAATGAGGACTTTCTTAGTAACTAAAATTGAATAAGTTCTACATGAGCTGAGGCAGAAATCTGACAAACGCTTTTAAGTAAAAATGATTTCAGTAAGACCGGATCTTGTCATTTCGGTTAGTTTCAAAAGGCCTTTGGCAGGTAAATTATCAACCGCCTTGCTACGGGTGACCGTGTCTTTATCTTGTTATCTTGTAGTTAAGTCGAAGAATTCATTCTTTAAGGCTGCGGAAATGTCAAAGTTGTGTTCTTTAAATCTTTTTACAATCACGTAAACGGTACTGAATGAATTTCTATTTGTTTGTCATTAGCGACATTATTTTGAAGTTTGTTTCCGCCTTGATTTTACTTGGTCATTTTCAGTTCGATAGAACAAAAGCCAAGGTTTTTACCACAGCTTTTAAATTAGAGACCTGCTTTCCTTTTGGCAGGTGGTCTAAAGGAAAATTCCATGACATTGCAGCCTAAGTTCGTTTAGGGCGCATTTAAAAATTGTCTTGCTAATTTGAAGAACTTAACGAAAGCTTGGCTCACCTCGAAGCACTCATAAACTGTAAACACTGTCAATTTTTCTGTGTGAACTACGTTCCCTTTCGCAAGCCTCACTTAAATTGTGTCTAAGGCTCCGTGAACCCTCCCGCAACGGTAATTTGCGTTTAATTGACAAAGAACTACCGCACTAAAACACACTGACCATGACTTAAACATGTTCTAAACTCCAAACGTTTGCTCGAATGCTTTCAGTGTATTGCTCTGCTGATATAGTATATATCGGGTAAGCGTCAAAGCGTGTCCCAACATGAATAAATAAATATGCGTTTTTTTATGGAGCTTATGCCGGGAAATCTGTTTTACTGTCAAACAAACCGTGCAATTCTAAATTAGTCTTGCTGGGCTACATACTTGCAAACTTTTTTTTTTAAACCGCAAAAGCAATATCTTTGTGCTAGAGTACAACTGAGATGGATTGAAATCTAGTAAATAAAACTCGATAACAATAATCATAGCTACGTAATCATAGATGTGTAATATCTAAACTTTATTTTCTGCGGTGACTTTGCCCAATCCTGTGTACGAAAACAACTGCAAAGCGCGTTTAATTTCTAACATTTGAACTGGATTAGCTGCATTTCCTGCAATACTACAACCATTGGTCCGGGTTTCACCTGACAATTGCTACAAATACGTGTTAAAAATACCTTGGAACTTATCTGGTTCCCGCACTGTCCAACCTGAATATGAACGATGTCTCTCATGATGTCCCTCTTGGAGTCTGTTGATCAGCTCACTCCTGTGAAATTTAATTGCATGGTTTTAAAATTCGTGGAACATTACACATCGTCTTTAATGCAATGGTTAGTTATTTGGGTTGCTTTCCTGAGACGAATCTCATTAAATATTATTACTTAACCTGGAGGGATTCATCGCCTCTTCATTGCCACTTTAACGTGATTTCAGATGGACAACTAAACACCTATTCATCTCTATTTCTACCAATAGATAACGAAGTTCGATTTAAGTTGTTTTAAAGACATTCAAACGTCAAATTAACCAGGTTAGTGTTTAACTTGGATATAAAATGAATGGTACAATGGACTTGTAAAATTTTCATATCAAAGCCATAGAAAGATGGAAGTTTCTCGGAATCGAATGGATGGATGTGATCTTACCTTGCGAACTTGCTACTAATTGATTAGCGCAAATCACCATGGTAGAGATTATTAAGTCCTTTTGCAGGATCGGATAACAGTACGAAAAAACCCAACGGCCATTAGGACATATTTGAAATGAGCTACATTCTATTGATTGTTCCTTTGAATGAATAATGGATGACGGTCATGATTGCTATAGATTAGGGGGTGGTCGATTCATGGTGTCTTTTCTAACGAAAGTAACAAATTGTCAGGCTAAAGACCTTTACCGAGAGCTGTCGACTCTCTATTGGTCAAACGTCACGTGACCGAGTTCTAACAAAGGACTTAGTAGCCACCCACCAGAGTTGGTTTATCAAGGAACACTTAAGTGATTTTTCACCTGTGGAGAAATATCACGATTGTTTTGAATTATTTTAAAAATTCTGCGGTGATAAATTGTATCTATAGGTATAATTTTCACGCGCTTATAACCACACGCAATCGAGGTATTCTCTTAAATGGGTCCGAAACACTGACCGTGATGTTTGCTTTCCAGTAACTGTTTTGTCCACAAACGTTTCCGGTGTTCTCTTCACTTCCGCCCTTTGAAGCCACAGCATTAGAATATTCGGTGGCTACCAAGTGTTTGTCAATCTGCAACCTCCCGCTACATTCGGTATATCGGAGTATTTTCTGTGGCGTTTAACAGCATATGCTGTCAAAGTCGATCTTTTGGACCAATCATTGCAAATGGAACTTGATTCGGTTGATTTGGTTGAAGTGTTTAGTGTAACAGCTATTTGGCCGTGTTTAACTGGAATAAAGTTTTTTAGGTTGGTTGAGTTGGTTAAGTGTTTTCTCGTTCTTTTACGGTTGGATTGGTTCAAGCGATTGTTGCATATTGATTAAGAGTTTCGACTGAAAACTGTTCATTGTTCTATTGGAAAAGTTCGACTATATCAACCTTTCGATAGCGCGGATTGAAAAGGTGATCAACTCAACCAACTGAAGCTTGTTTTTAGCAATAGAGCTCGAAAAACTCAAAACAAACAAACCAAACTAAAAAGGCTGATCCATGAGAGCCCGCCCAAAGGCTTTTCAAGTTATGTTATTGCGTTTCTGTCTAATTCAAATAGTTGGCCAGTGACACCGTTCAGATCTCTCTCGAACTCCATTTGTTAACTAGAGGTGTTTTAAATTATAAACACTGAGCTATGTGTTTTTGTTCACCGAATATCAAGAACGGCTGGCAACAGTATTCAACTAAAAAACAAATCAACTCAACAATTTTCTTACAGCAGGTGGCGCGTGGGCCAATCTCATTCCAAGTCTTCGTTCGCTCCTGTGCCGAGCGGAGATAAACAAAACCTTAGGAAAGAGCTTGCTGAGGAGTTGTAAATGATGTATCCACTAGAACGTTTGATTCCCAATCATTCTGGAAATTTCATACTATCTTTTTTTCCCAATCAGTCAGCAGTTTGATCAAACTGACGTGCTGCCCTAAAGCCCTCTCCGTTTATTCTGAACCTAGTGTATTACCTACCGCAACGTAGAAACTAGCGGCGAAATCGCTGGCTTATTTCTAAACATTTTCCCACTCGCAGCCAGTCGATCAGAAGCTTACATATAAAGCTCAACAAAAACAACAGTAATTAAAAAAGTTACATTTGACTATTTCAGCTGGATGAAGTACTATTCTCAGGACGAGCGGACGAGAATATTTTTTCCCTAGGGGTAGGTGTAAGTAAATCGATAAATTACTTTCTAAGCTCAGGCAATTTACGCTACACAAAAAGTAAAACAACGTTTTGAGTTCACGTTTTAAGCTTTTGCCATGAATTTCACACGCCCCGTCAAACCTAAAAATAAACACACAGACGTGTCAGAATATAAGAAGCAGACAACGTGTTACACGTTAAAAGCAGGAAGAGGGGGGGATCAAGTATTTTCCCAAATCTTCCAGTACTGTGGCGATTTGAATGTTTTGTTGTTCCCCATAAATCACTCAGAATGGCAGCAGAGGCAAAGTAAGAAATCTAACAAATTATTTAGGTTCTGCCATAAGGGGCCGCTAAGCAACCGCGTATTGGCCTGAGCTTCAATTACAGAAGGTACTGACCGCACTTAAAGTTTTTTGCAACGGCACTTGACGTATTTTCTTATAGATGGATTCTTGTTTAAAAAACTATCATAACATGGGAGCATGTATTTGCTTTCTAATTGTGTGAATATATGTCATCACATGAAAAGCACTTGAAATCGGCTGATTCAGCTCCCTAAAGTGGGCGGTTAGTTTTTCTTTATAAAGCAATGTATACTTTTAAAATGAGGGAACACTTTAAAAATGTTGCTATCGAAGCAGGCTCAGGTTACAATAAGCTCTTGTTCTTAGGCCATCGTAGCTTGATTTCAATGTAATGAAATGTGACCTTTGTAAATTACAATGTTTAATCTCGTAGTTCGCAGTGACTTAATTTTCATTAACATGAGGTTTTTCTTAACTTCGACGTCTTTTCAGCTGCTACTGATGCTTTGTTCAGAAAAATAAACATTTCTTATTCTTCAATTTCCTTGACAATTACAAGTCAGGTAATGTGAAACTCAACACTGACCACGCGGGAAAACAAATTGACATGCAAATGTGCTTCTTTCCTCAAAGAGGTTCGAAGCTCCTAGTGATTTCATAGCATGCTTGAACGGCGACTCTACTTTAGACACTAAAAAACTGACTGAGAGATCGACTGCTAATTGCTCCGTTAGCTTGGTATGTTCTACATCTCCTGGTTCCTTGTTTCTGACTTTCTCTATTCGAGGGTGAACCTAATCTTATTCTGATTGAGAGGACAGAAGGTAAATACAGCCATACATGAATTTCTTAATATAATATAATATAGGCGAGGGCAGCTGAATGTGCCATTAGTTTCGAAATACGCGGTCACCGCTTTCTCCTTTTTATTTGACACAGAATGGTTAGAACGTTAGTTTGCACGGTTTGTTTGTAATGGTATGATTACGGTTGATAAAGACACATGATGTTTAATTGTAATTAGAAATTTCGTTTTCTACAAGATTCAAAGCAAAGCAGAATCACTGAAGCTCAACTAAGGTGTGTGTGTGTTTTTTTTTCACAAGAAGCTGCGCATATAATTTTTTAAAAGCAACTTTAAACATTAAATATAATTCCCTCTTTATAACAGAATCTTAGATTGAAAAAATTGCGAAATGCGGATTTAACAATCTTCAGTTTGCAAAATAGCATTGACCTAAATTAGAGAATTCACCAAAATCCATGAAATATTATAAAAGCGGCGTCTGTGCTGTCATTAAAATAATACTCACAGGACGTGCTGTAATTTGTTCACAAAACCCTCCATTAAATTTTATGTCTTGTTATTGCCTTAAGCTACGCGTCTTATCGGATAATTATGAACATCAAATGTTCCTTTAGCTCTTTCTTCGTGACTTCGCAATATTTTAAGAAAGATAATGTTATCAAGCACCATCAATACATTGATTGACGTGCAATTTAGAACGGCAACCTTTTAACTGCATGCGGTAATTATTTCATCACGCTTGAGCTATTGATAGTTTCAGGTTTCATTGCAAACGCCCGCTTGTTTTGAAGAAAAACAAGGCGAAAATAATACTGGCGACATGTCCATGAAAAAAGGAAAAACAAAGAATCAATCGCCGTTTGTTTAAATTACTTATTTTTTAAACTACAAATATCGACCTTGTGACTTCACAGCTACTTTAAACACGGCACTTATATGGAAACTGTAATTTTCTTGGGTCGGGTATTTGTCTTAAAGATAAACTGAATTATCTAGAAATTAATTTCTGGAGTTTGGAACAGCTCCTAGGCCTCATTTAACTGGCAAAGGTTTGGTAAGAAATGCTCTTTTTTGTTACCCCACCTTTTGAAAGACAGGATCAGAAAAATCTTTCAGCCTTTTTTATCAATATGGTGCAACCCTGGATTAACAATGTCGCTCGGTCCAGAAAATTGTTTTTATCACATCCGATGTTCACTCCGTAGGTATACGTGACAAACCACAGTCATTGTTTGTTAATATTTACTTCGTACCATGACACATAACAGAATAAAGGGAAGTGATATTAGGATAACCTCTGAACGCGACCAAGCATCGTGTTGAAGTGGAACAATATTTTTTCTTGTGAGGGAGAACACCATAATATGCAAGATAGTATGTAGAAAAGTACTGAGGAACAATTAATTACTGAATAATACAAAAGAAAATAAGAATTAGTAATAGAAAAAACAAGAAAGGTTTTTTTTTTTACTAACAACGAATGTTTTTAACAAGGAAACGATTGGTCCCTTTTATCTGAAAGCTATGTCGTATCTGAATTAGTTATACCAGGACTACAACATTTAATTCAATTTAAATTACTTTATCTTTTGCGTTTTCGAAGAACAAATATATAATCAAATGCTCATTTCCGTGATCATCCTTGTATTTAATAAAAAAAAGATAGAGCAAGGACCAGGAGTAAGTCAATCAACACACTTACAATTCTCAATTCACGTCACCCGGCAGACTAATAACGTTTGTCACTTGAAAGTTAAAATAATCTTTTTTCATTTACGGCACGTTCAGCAATATTTCAAAATCATTTACATAAAATTTAGATTTGATATAATTCAACTGAATTGAAACTTCCAGGGTTATTAATGTTGGTTAGCTTTGATTGGTTGAAATAGATTATTGAAACAATATTGCTGCCGGATATACAATTCTTCCATTTCTCGAATTCGTTGAGACATCACGTATAAAAGTTTAGAATTCACCTCTGCGCGTTTTCCACAGCTTTCCTATACACCCAGCTTGCTACGTCCCAATTTACTCACGAGGTACTTTAAAACACTGACCTGTTAACTTCTATATTTTAACTTAACTGCGAATTGCTGTTATAAACCATCATAAGAAGTATATTTATGAAATAATGTATCGGGAGACAGAATTCCCCTGTGGGCAATTTCTACCGCTCATTCCCGTATCCTATCTATTTTTAGCCTGTTAGGACTCATATTCTTATGGGAAGCAAAATGTTGAAGATCTCCAATGATATTTATTTTAACAATATATTTATCTTTTATAGGAAGTGATGCACATGGTGTACAATCGAGATTTAAGCCAAAGATTGGTCTTTGCAGCCGTTGCCATCTTCTCTTTCACAGGAAATCTCTTCTTCGTTGTGCTTATTGTACGCAATAGAAAACTGATGAAAAACGCGTATCATGTTATCCTACTTAGCTTGGCTATTACTGATATGATGACAGGTAAGAAATTTAAAGGGGTCAGTATATCGACGAAGTTTATTTTATTGCTACGCGTAAGGAAGTTAGTTGTTGTTGGCTGTTGTTGCTGTTGTTGTTTTTGTGGATGTTATGAGGCAGACAGTCTTATCTTTACTGTCAGAATCTTCACATTTCTGAATGGTAAGGGTCTTTCATACTACGACATGTCTTGTCCAACGTTACTTGCGTAAGAGCCTCTTATTAAGTTAACTGGTGAAAAGTGTAACTAAGAGATCATTTTACTAAAAGAACCATAGACCAGTCCACCATCGTATAGTCCGTTCTCTTTATTTCTATCATACATGTCTTTTGTATATGAGCCTATTCAGACAGGTTTTTTTTTCGCTCCTTTAGACCGAGTGTTTAGACGCATCTTACTGTCGGGATCAGGTCAAGATGTCAGGCCCGTCGAATATGTCTTCAGGATATACGCTCTTTGCTAAGAGGGGCGGATAAGCCCTAGATATCCTACAGAATACTTTTAACATTATGCGAGGACGTCCTATCAGGCTTCTACTACAGCTAGCGTATCATTATTAAGTTTAAATTTATTTTATCACACACAATAAAAACTTTTTGTAGACGTACACTTTGTAATGACTAACACGAGTCCTTTTTTTCCTCAGGAATTTTTCTTCTCTTAACACCTATTTACATCATTGGGGAACAACCAGCGTTTACAGGCGAAAACTTTGGCTCTGCAATCTTTTGCTACGTCATAGCAAATCAATTTCTTGTTTTCACGTTTGGAATTGTTTCCTTGTATACTGTCACGCTTCTTGCTGTGGAACGTTGGTTTGCTGTTTTTCGTCCCTTGGGGTATCGAACATCATTTAGAGCACAAAAAGTGCAGAAGTATCTGTTAACCGTCTGGGTTAGTTCCTTTGTTGTGAACAGTACGCATATCGTAGAGACCAAGTATACCCTTCACGGTGACAACACGACAAGACGGTGTACATTCCACCCTAGAGTGGCCGGTATGGAAGCTAGGGCTGCAATAGGAGTTGTAGAGATTTGTATGAAGTTTTTGATACCAGCCACAATTCTCCTGGTCTCGTTTACCCGTCTTTATCGTTTCATGAAAGATTCAGCTGTCCTTTCAACAACTCGTCGGAGTAGTTATCTTGCACTCACTCGAGTCACACACATGGCTGCCATAACATCGTTGGTGATGCTACTTTGTTGGTTTCCAAACCAACTTTTCTATTTACTATTCAAACTCGATGTTGTGCTACTGAACACCCCATGGCACAGAGCAACAGTTATCTTGTGTATGTTTAACTCGTGCTTGAATCCTTGCATATTTCTGTTAAGCAACAAAATCTACAGAAAAAAGGCAAAAGAACTGCTTCCAGTTTGTAGAGGATTAATGAAGAGAGATGAGATATCACTGACAGAATCAAAGCAAGTAATTCAGTCAGCAGTATGCGTCAAATTTATCAAAGGAAACTATCTGGAAGAGGAAAACGTGGAGATATTCCAACATGTGCTGGACACTTCATTGGCTACGCACAGTCATGAACAATTTATATAGTTCGTTCTTAAAGCGTGCGAGCCCAAACATACGCTAAATACAATGCCCTACTACAATATGTATATTCTTCGCTCTTAATAAAGCTTGCGAGCCCAAACACACACTAAATACAACTTATATTCTTAATTCGTTATTAAAGCGAGCCCAAACACACGCTAGATACAATTTATATTCTTCGGCTAATGCCATTTGTGTTTGCATAAACCGTGCGATCCCAAAAGCGCTAAATGAATGCAATATGTATATTCTTCGTTCTTAAAGTGTGCTAGCCCAAACACACGCTAAATACAATGTATATCCTTCGTTCTTAAAGCGTGCGAGCCCAAACACACGCTAAATACAATTTATATTCTTCGTTCTTAAAGCGTGCGAGCCCAGACATACGCTAAATACAATGCCCTACATCAATCAATCAATCAATCAATCAATCAATCAATCAATCAATCAATCAATCAATAACTTTATTAATGTGTCAAATACATTCTAGCCGAGGATAAAAAAACCCTCTACTAATAGGGGACACAAAATAAATAAAATAAATTATAAAATTTAAAAACCTAAATTTG